TTTACAGCTGAGTTCCTGGAGGTGCAGTCATTGGTGTAGAGGGAGAAGAGCAGTGGGGAGAGGACACATCCTTGAGGGGCACCAATACTGAGGGACCGTGTTTCAGAAGTGATCTCCCCCAGCCTTACTTGCTGCTTCCTGTCTGTCAGGAAGCTAGTGATCCACTGACAGGTAGCTGATGACACGTTGAGCTGGGAGAGTTTGGAGGAGAGGAGATTAGGCACAATGGTGTTGAAAGCAGAACTGAAGTCCACAAACAGGATCCTGGCATAAGTTCCTGGCCGGTCAAGATGTTGCAGGATATAATGCAGCCCCATATTAACTGCATCATCCACCGACCTGTTTGCCCGATAGGCAAACTGCAGGGGGTCCAGCTGGTGTCCTGTAATGTCCTTCAGATGAGCTAAAACCAGGCGTTCAAAGGATTTCATGACCACAGACGTCAAGGCGACAGGTCTGTAGTCATTCAGTCCTGTGATGGTGGGTTTCTTGGTAACCGGGATAATGGTGGAGCGTTTGAAGCAGGAGGGAACTTCACACAACTTCAGAGATCTATTGAAGATACGGGTGAAGATGGGAGCCAGCTGATCAGCACAGGTTTTGAGGCAGGAGGGGGATACACCGTCCGGGCCCGGGGTCTTCTTGATCTTCTGTTTCTGGAACAGCCAGCTCACTTCCGCTTTGTGTATTCTGAGTTCCAGGGGGGAGAGAGGTGTGATGGAGGTCGTTGACTCTGGGCTGGGGAGGGTGAGGGATATTCCAATATTATTATATATTATTATAATCATCTAATATTGATAGTAGCAAGCAAAATAATGACATCTAAAATGATGATATTTTTCCATTTCTCCACTGAAAATGTCATCCCTCTGCTGATTGCATGTTGCAGTGGATGAGATGACTGTCCTCGCTGCACAGACAGGTTTGCCTGTGGCAGCCAGTCTGTATCACTCACAAACTGACTGTCAAAAATAAAGGAGGAGGTTGCTTTCAGTCTCATATGCACAACAACAAAACATTATTAGCTAAATGAGAACTTGATAGGCCAGCATTTCAACTGCCTCATCTTCCTCTCCCCTTGGAATTGTCTTCAGTGATGGATATTGAGGCATTGAGGTTTGTATATCACCAAAAAACAGAGGAAGGCCATTATGATACTGAAATACTATGACACTCTGCCAGGTCAAATCAGGTTTTCAACCACAATAAAGGTCAGGTGTAGAACAAATGGATAAAAACTGCGAAAGTTTATTACAAATACTATGGTGGAAAATTTAGTTGGATCAAATCTAACTATCAATTCCTCTGCTGGTAGCTTATTCACTGTCTTCAGAACTTCATAGCCCTTTTTTGTCACTTGAGTCCATCTGTATTGTGTGTTCAGACGGCTGTCGGTGTGACTTACAGCTTCTGACAGTGAAGAGAGTGAGCTGTGTGAAATTGCTCTGCCATTCCCATGATGCCCATCAGAACATCTGACTTTTAATTGTATCTTTGGGACTTCTGAGTAACAGTAAACTGGTACGGCCAGCGTCTCTGACCTGTGGAAAGTGGATCACCTAGCGTTTCACTCTGGCAGTGATTTCAGCCATAATCACTCTTCAGTTCGCTGTCTCAGTCAGAGGAGACCAATAGCAGCCGGGGAAGGTCTCTGACCAATCGAAAATGGCTTCTGTCTCTGGATTGTTAATCGGCCTGCAGTGAAGAATAATTTTTCCTATTAGTTTTATCATTTGCATTTTTCAGCATGAGGAGCCAGTGGCTAAGAAGCGAAGAGGATTTGCTTTCATGTGAGACCTCGACTGCTTGATGACTTTCCAGAGCTTCTTCACCTGGAATTTTTTCTCTCCTGATTTTGTACAGGGCAGCAGTGTCTGAGCTGGGAGTCTGTTTCTGCTTATTTTCGAGGCTTTACGCTTATGAGAAGCAGCCTAATTCCCGCAGCAGCTTTGTCATAAAGGTCAGCATTGTGATGATCTGCAAGCCCCCAGTTTGGAAGGTGGATCAGAAGCTCACAGAATCACAGAGAAGACAGGAAACCAGGAGTGTGGAAATTAGCCCCTCCCTCTGCCGTTAAACTTTCACTACCTGTGTACTTCACTTTCTCCGTCAAGAATAGGAAGCGGAGACGTAATGTGTCTGAAAGGGGGAGAGGCGTTCATCGGGACAAACCTACACGCTCCCTTATATTTTAAGGCTATAACTTTCACACTTGCCCTACAATGCCAGTCACATCTCTGTTAGAAGCAGAACATTGTTGGGTTAACCCCTTATTATCCAGTGTATGTCCTTCAACTCTTCACTTTCTCACTTTAATCTGCTAAAGTACTGCACAAATTCAGAAATCTAATTAACATAAATCCTCTGAGCACCATACGCTGGTTTCTTTTTGACATGATTATGGGGATTTCTTTGGCCTGCATTTTTCTGCTGGATATGGTCTTATTTAAATCTCTTAGCATTGCTGCAGCTGGACTTCATAGCCGTAAGAAATGTTTGCAGCTGCCTTGTGTTTCTGAACAGTGTGCTGTGCAGCTGTGGAAAAGAAAATCACAGGTTGGATTATTTACGTTACATCACCTTTATCTGCCGTTTTTGGCCAGGTTCCCTCATAATGTAAATTTGGGATTTTACCAATGATATAGAAACTCATCCAAAGTACACACAGGATCACCGTATTTCCCAAGCCTTTTCCAGTCTCAGTACTTCTACCCATAAACGTTGAACTGTATAATCTGTGTTACTGTTGCTTATTAATGCAGTGAGACCTCGAACATTCACGAGGTTCGGTTCCAGAACCCGTCGCGAATGATTTGCGGATGTTTGATAGTCATTAAAAATGGTAATATGTGCTTATTTGTGTAGTTTAAACTCTAAATATGACTGCTGTCATGCTCCCAAAACACTTCAATTTCATTTAAAAGTTAGCTTAATACATTACCTTTAAAAAAACAAATGTTTGATGTAAAAATAGAGTACAGTATCGCCTAATGGATATGTCACACTAGCACATTTACAGTACAGTATAGTAATGTTACCCCTACTAATTCATAGAACACGGCATTGGCTGCCGTTTTCTTTTGCATTCACAGTAAGGTAAAACAAGTAAACGAACGGGACTGTAAACTTATTGACAGAAGTCATATACATAACAAAGGTACAATTCAGTAAAATACGTAAAGGAAAAATGTACTGTACATACAAGATACAGGAATTCAGTCAAATAAAAATTACGTAAAGATCGACGTACAGAAATAAGTTGTAAAAATACGATGTGTGCGGTAACCATAAAAAAGAGAGAACAAAAATACACACATTAAAAATATTTAATAAACAGTAGTATGGGTACTCACAAATGATGAATATTGATTTAAGATAATGACGATTATGATTGCTGTGTAGTACAGTGAAAATGACTGCATGGTGTGCATGAGGAGTTACAGCTCCTAGCTCAGTCTCCCTCTTCAGGTGGGGGTTCATGGTAGCGTTTGGGTCTGAATTTACGTTAATGTGTACTTACTGTTTCAAAGTAGTAAATTAACTATTTTCTAATATTTATGTAACCATTAGTGTTCCAAAGGGAATAAACTTTGCGAATGGGATTTGTGTCTTGTAAAGATACAGTACAGTATGTATTATGGAACGTTTCCATAAGAAAGCCACATTTTTAAGGGATTTTTTAACTGATTTATACTGTATGTCTTGAACTTTCCCCAAAAACACAGTAGAATCTTTAACTAAATTTTTCTTACCAATTTTACACTTAAAAGCATGAAAACTTACTATAAATTACTATGAAAAATGAACAAACACTTCTGTAGGGTTTTTCAAAGATTTGCGAAAAAATCGAGGATGCAAATAAGTTTGGTTCCAATTAAATTTTCGTGGATCTGTGATTTCGCGAATCACGAAGTACAAATGCACAAGGGCTGACTGTATTTTACTTTAATGTTAAAACACTTTAATGTTAATATTTTAATGTTGATATTAATCAAATTTTTTCATGATTATTGACTGTATGCTCATGAGCTTCTACTGTTACTGAAGCAAACCAGCAACTCCAGATTGCCCTCCGTAACCCACATGTTTTCCCAGTGATTGACCCTCGCATGCCCCAGCTCAGGAAAACACACGCTAGAGACCCATGCATGTGGTGCAGTCCCAAAAGCATCGGCAGCATAAGGCATCAGTCATTAGATGCACAGTGTGTGGCTCTGTGGGTTAGGACAGTGTGTCTGTGACCAAATGGTCCCTGATTCAATCCCATGGTCGGCAAAGTGGGTTCATTCTTGTGCCCATAAACAAGGCCCTTATATCCTGTTGATCCAGGGACTGGTTGACCCCCTACTCTCTCAATTGTATGGCGTTTTGGATAAAAGTGTCCCATAAATAAATCAAAATGTAAATAACTGTCTCTCTCATCCTGCCAGGTGTTTTGGGCTCACTGTCTGAATGGTCTCTTCCACTCAGTCATCCTCTTCTGGTTTCCTCTGCAAGCATTCCGCCATGGTAACGCCATCCTTGTGTCTATTTGTGTGTACACGTTATCCTGATGTCGGGATATTTCAGGCCCGGGCTGGGAATTTTGTGTGGTATTAAAATAATATGTACGTGTTGTGTACTAGGAGCAGAGGACAACCCCCAATAGGTTGGGCTGTTTGCAATTGTGGGACGCCTCAGTCTGTGATTGACTGGCTGTTTAAACCTCCTCATATTGGTCAGAGACCACATGACAAAGCCTTATTGGCCGTGACTGACAACATGAACAAACTCTGCTTCATTTTGGGATGCCTCTTATACATTAGAGTAGATGTATTCTGGAACTAATATTGGGAACACTAACTAACATTGGAAAAACATTAGACAAACATAGTATGACATCTGCAGCACAAGAAATGTATTTTACTTATACCCTAAACTACACGTTAAATGTCAACATACATGCAGCCAGTATGTTCTTCAGTGCCAAGAGAAGATGTGATGATTTTATCACAATGGGTTTCCAGAAACATGGCTGCTGTCATTTTTACCCTAAAACTCTTTGGCAGACCAGTATGACAATTTCAGACTCCATAAAAAAAGAGGGGTTTAATACTGTTGGTTATACTTGTTCATGGTTTAACTGGGAACAGCTCCAAGTATCTCTCTTACACAGCTGACTGCACTAAACAGACATTTTAAAATGGTGAGCACATTAAACAGATGTTTCAAAATGGTGAGTTTCAAGACATGTGGAATTGAAACAATTTAACAGTCTTCCCCCACTAACTGAAAAGTATTAGTCTACAGCTGTCAAAACCATGGCTGTTTTAAAAAGGTTTCAGTACAAGGAAACAATTAAGGAGAGTAAAAATAAGTAATTTACTGAAATATCAGACAATATTACAAATTAAACATGTCATTAATCACTGATTCATGTTTTTGTCTTTTATTATTGTACTATTGCACTAGGAATGTAGACATAAAGGGTTTTACATGTCTGAAATATTCAAAAACATTAAGCTCCACTCTCCTGCCACGGTCCAAAGACGAGTGGTTAGGTTAGCCGGTATCTCTCAATTGGCCACAGAGTATGACTGTCTGTGTGCCCTGCGATTGACTGCCATCCCATACAGGGCATAGGCTGCAAAGTATCGGGTTTTAGGCCAGCTATGGGTCAGTCTTTTTTATGTGCAGCTTTGGGCTTGGGTTAGTTTTTTTTACACAATTTGTTTTTTAAATGTGCAAATTGCTTTTTGCACTTGCTTGGCCCATTGCTCGTTTCCGTTCTCACAATGACTATCTAACAAGCATGCGACTAGCAATGAAAGTGATACGGCAATAGCTCGCAAATGTCTCCGTATGCATGTATGACTAATACTCCCACTATTTCAGGATAAGGTCAGGTTCAAGTTTTAGATCTGCTAGTACTATTCAGGCTGGGTCGGGTTCGCTCTGAAGGTCTTGGGTACAGGCCAGACTTGGGCTTTAATTTGGGCCCCTACAGAACTCTACTGCAGGCCCCCTATGACCCTATCCAGTTAGAAGATGGATGGAAGGATGGACCTTTATAGTGCTAAATTTGTATTTCTTTGGTAGATACGGTGTTTGGGAGTGGAAGGACAGCAGACTATCTTCTCCTGGGGAACATGGTCTACACGGTGAGTCTTTGGGCATGCACACTTCATCTGATCCATTAAGGAAACAGAGTATTGTGCCAAGAAGGTTGAAATTTACTTCTTTTTGTTTTGCTGCGTTTTCAGTGGAGTAATGTATCAGTATTTTCTCCTATGCTGGACATAACCTCATAATCATCATTCAGTTGATCTTAATGTTTCTCCTCTAGTTTGTGGTTATAACAGTTTGTCTGAAAGCTGGACTGGAAACCTCATCTTGGACTATGGTATGTATGTTCCCCTCCTGTTAGGTTTAGCTTTGCAAAATACAAAAAAAATTGCGGTTATCAGCCTTTTCTCTGAAGCTTGACTGTAATACAGATACTTTAGTCATATGTTGTTAATATGAGATACAGTGAAATTCTGCAGACGTGGATGATGGTAATGTTGTTGGCCTTCTAAAAGCTTTATGCATTTTAAGGACAATTGTGTTGACTTGTTCCCTGCAGTTCAGCCACATCGCCATCTGGGGCAGTATTGGACTGTGGATAGTGTTCTTTGGCATATACTCCTCCCTGTGGCCCTTTATACCCTTGGCCCCAGACATGTCTGGAGAGGTAGGAGGGGGGGGTAAACGTGGCATCTGGGGGATTTCTGGGTACCTACAGGACACATTGGGGAAGTGCTCACTGCATATTAAACTGCGTCAAGGGTCCAGTGAACAAAGCATATAGGCAGGGAGGGGGGATAGCCACTGGGTCCAGTGAACAAAGCATATAGGCAGGGA